TTTTTTTTTTTTTTTTTTTTTTGATCACCACAGGATTTTATCTTTCAGGCAGTAGTTTTCATTTGACCGGCCTGTATTCCTTTCAGGATAATGGACATGATGATGTATAACATTCACTGAGGAAAAGACATTCTGGCTAGTGTCCCAAGGCCCTAGAGAGATCACCAGTTCAACCCAGAAGTTCCAAATGTAAAAAAGACAGCGGCCCTTGGGAGAATTGGGTGCTATGGTGACAGAGCCTTGACAACTAGGAAAGGAGAGCAAGCTGGGCCCGGAGGTGCCTTCCGGCAGAGTCCCGAGGGAACGAGTGAGGGAACGAGTGCTGAGTGCTGCGAGGCAGAGCTGGAGGCCTGGCACCATCGGCCCCTTTTGGCTGGGGAGATCCACTCTCCAGTCTTTGTCAGAGGGCGGTCTGGCTCAGGCCGGAAGAACTTCCGCACACAGGCTGGCATGTTCTTCTACTTCGCTCGCTGCAAAGTGCAAGTGGCAGATGGGACTCTGGGCCCAGGAAATGCGTGGTAAACTCTCGGGGGAGAACACCCACTCAACAGATGGGGATGAAGATGGTGAGGGGAGGGAGGCTCTGGGGGAGGCGGGGCAGTCTCTCCACAGGTGGCAGCGAGCAGAGGGAGAATCTGCGGATGTAAACAAAATTGGTTCTGTTCCTAGGACGGATGCCACCCCATGAAGCCTGAAGGGAGAATCTGCTGCCAAAAGGCAGCCATTCTTGCAGGAAATTCACCATGACTGCATATTTTACAGCCAAGAGATAGTTTCATGCATCTGTCAAATATTTATCAAGTGTCTTCTGTGCCTGACAGATGCTGGGAGCTGGGGGATTGGAGTCAATTATGTGGAGTCTAGCGGTGAACATAGCTAGGAACACAAAGAACAGCGATTCAAAGCAGAAGGTGCAAAGTGGGAGAGATTATCTGGGAAGATCAGAGAAGCCTTGGTTTAAAAAATACGCTTAACAGAGTCTTAAAGAGTAAGTTATGAAGGAAATTCTCTCTGACAGGGTTTCAGATCGTTTGGTTTCGTGTTCTCCTGAGGGCAGAGCTCAGCTTCACCAACACAATGTGATCAGACTTGTCCTGAACTGTTTCACTAACAGTACAGTTACAGATGGGGGAATAGCACAGATGCCAGAGGCCAGGAGGCCAAATCCGAATGTTTCTTGACAACATCCAGATCTCCTGTTCCTTCTTCAAGAGGAGTCAAGTGACCACACAGCCACCTCCCAGCTCACCTGCACAAACGGGATACTGTCCCTCTCCTGAATGCCATCGTTTTGGAACTGGGGTCAATGTTCTCTTTGCCTTGCTTTTGCCTTTCTTCTCCTTTTTGACCGACAGTGTGAGTTGGCCAGGGACCTGTGAAAAACAACACTTAACAGCCAGCAGGCTGGGTATAGTGGTGCATGCCTGTAATCCCAGTTCTTGGGAGGCTGAGACAGGAGGATCACTGCAGGTTTGAGGCCAGCCCACGGTACATAGTGAGTTCCAGGCCAGCCTGAACTACATAGGGAGACACTGTCTCAAAAAAAATAACCTCTCCTAAAAGAAACCCCAAAACAAAAACAAAACAACAACCAGCTATTGCTGGGTGTGGGGGCACATGCTTGTAATCCCAGCACTCTTGGAGGCTGAGGCTGGAGGATCCCAAGTTGGAGCTCAAACTGGGCAACTTAGTGAAACAGTGTTTTAAAACAAAAATAGCTCACACACACACACACACACACACACACACACAATGAAGGGCTAAGGATGTGCTTAGGTTCAATCTGGTGCTGCTAAAGAAAAAAAAAAACCTGAAAAACAAAATTGGCTATCAGTGAGAGGTCATATGGGCTGAAGGAGCCTAGAATCAGGGCAAGACGGATGTAGAATGTTAAAATGGTAGTAACCTTGGGTGGGAGTGCTGACTCTCTCACTTGAAATACCAGACTTGAAGGAAGTCATTTAACCTTTGAACATCTCAGAACAGAACCCCTATTACTCTTCTCAGATACTTCATGGGAGATAGTACTGGGGAACTAGGACCTCATGCTCAACCACTGAGGTGCATCTCTAGTCCCTTTTTAAATTTTATTTTGAGATAAGAACTTTACTGAGTTGCCCAGGGTGGCCTCAAACTTGTGATCCTGCTGTTTTAGCCTCCTGAGTAGCTAGAATTACAGGTGTGCACCAATGTGCCCATCTGTTTTCAGTTTTAATTATTTAAAAAATTGAGATACTACATAAATACCACTAAGTTCATCCTTCTAAAGACTGACTTTAGCATATTTATCAGGTTGAGTGACCACAACTAATCCTAGAACATTTATATCACCCTCAAAAGAAACTCCAAAACGTTTTAGCCATCACTCTCCATTTCTCTATCCCTATAGTCCCTGGGAATCACTGATCTCCTTGCTGTCTCTAGGGATTTGTCATCTAGCCTAGACATCCCAATTAAATGGGATCAAATGACACATGGGGGGGGCAGAGGATGCATCTCGGTGGTAGGGCTATTCCCTAGAATGCCCAGTTTCTGGTTTCAATCCTCAGAACTGAGAACAAAAAAACAACAAACCAAGTATATGGCCTTTTGTGATTGATTTCTTTCATTTAGCATAATGTTTTTAAGGTTCATCCACATTAGAGTACGTATTGGTACTGCATTCATTTTTCACGGATGAATAATATTCCATGATATAGATTACTATGTATACCATTACATAGGAATTCATTCATTATGTGATAAACATTTGTTTGCTTTAGATTTCAGGGTATTATGAATAATGGTGTCAAGGTCAGGCACAGTGATGGTACCTGTAGTCCCAGCTTTTGGGGAGGCTATGACAGGAGGCTTATGTGAGCCAAGAAGTTTAAATCCAACCTAGGTATCATAGAGACCCCCTCACCTCAAAAAAACCCAACCCAACCAAAATAAAAATATAAACATAAAAATGAATGCCACGGCTGCATTTGTCTGTTTTTGTATGAAAACCTGTGGGTATATATTAGAGCTAGAATTTTTTATAAAATTATTTAATTATAGCCATCCTAGTGGGTGTGAATACTGTTTCTTTTGTTGTTGTTGTTCTGGGGATTGAACCTTGAGTCTTTGCACTGAGCTACACTCCCAGTCATTTTTTTGTTTTAGTTTGAGATAGGATCTTGCTAAATTGCTAAGTAGCCCAGGCTGGGTTTGAACTTGTGATCCTTTTGTCTTAGCCTCCCAGAGTGCTGAGATACAGGCATGTGCCACCGTATGTGACTTAAATTTTTTTCCTTTCTTTTTCTTTGTGTGTGTGTGTGTGTGTGTGTGCGTGCGTGTGCGTGTGCGCATGTGTGCACTGGGACCTTCCCAGTGAGCTACAACCCCAGTTCTTTTTAATTTTTTAAAAAATTTTTATCTTGAGCATAGCCTACATTGCTAAATTGCCCAGGCTGGACTAGATTTGTGATCCTCCTGCCTCAGCCTCCCACAGTACTGGGATTACAGCCATGTGTCACTATGCATGGCTAAGATTAAAATTTTGACAAAGTCCATGAGGGAACTGTCCTGATTTTGGTTCAGTGGGTTGTCTCCCTGCTTAACCTGAAACCTGATGACACATGGACAAGGGCATTTTCTCCTGCACCCTCACTTCTTAGCTATGAGATCAAGGCCTGGATCCAAGGTAATCCTGCCCTAACTAAAACAAGAGTAGAGGAAGAAGGACTGCTGCAGAGGGGTCCTAAGGTTTGGGGAGGTGTCCTGGGCCTTGCATGTTGACCTGTTCACCTTTGGTCCTGGACTTTTTGCCTCTTCTTTCTGCCCTCATCTTTCTCTGTGTTAGAAATGCTCATTAAGCCTAGCTCATTAACAAAAGGTCTTTGCGTGGAGGTCCCTTCTTTCTTCTTCTTCTTCTCCTCCTTCTCCTCCTCCTCTTCCTCCTCCTCCTCCTCCTTTCTTCTTCTTCTCCTTTTTTTTTTTTTTTGGTACCAGGGATCGAACTCGGGCCCTTGTGCTTGTGAGGCAGGCGGCAGAATCACCGAGCCAAATCCCCGGCCCCAGCCCTTCTTTTAAGAATATTTTTTCTACCTTTTTTGCCGGCTTACTTCTTTCTTACTTTTCCTGGATTCTTAAATCTAGCCATCCTATTATGCTTTGCTTTCAAATACTTGTCACAGTTGCAGTTTTAAGATTACTTTTGGCGATGGGCATGTGTCTCTTCATTAGGGTAGGAACACTGCTATTTCCTGCGGCACACCCAGCACCACACTGAGCCTGGCACATAAGAGACATTCAGTAAACATCTGTCAAATGAACAATAACAAAACCAACAATCACTATTTAGCTAGTTATTCAGAATCTGTGAAACACCTCATAGAACATTTAATATATTTCAAAGTGCTTTTGTCCTGCTAATGCCCAGCCTAGAGTAGATGCCCTGTCCCAAATGGGGCCTCACCTGTACTCTGGCTTACTGGGACCTGGCTCTGTGTGGTTGTTCTTTGGGTTTGCCACACTGGCTGAAGGTGCCTTTCGGGCAGCAGAAAGCACCATGCGGGCTGAATTTCCCAGAGCCCCTGGTTGAAGCTGATTCAGGAAATCCTTGAGCTCTGACATTCCCTTGGTGTTCCTGCAAAGAAACATAGCACTTGGTTGCATTAGGAACGCAGACCCCATTCTGCTTTCCAAGTCAATGGCATTTCACTGAGAAAGTCTGTTTCATGTACAGACAGGGCTATAGGGCCAGAGCAGTGATGGCAAACCTTTTGGAGAACACTTGCCAAACAGCAACCTGAAACCCATTGATTTATTGCAAAGTGCCAATGCTGCAATTAAACCTGAATACTGAAGTTTTGTTTTTATTCTTGGTTTTTTTTTTTGTTTTGTTTTGTTTTGTTTTGTTTTGAGACAGGGTCTCACTGTGTAGTTCAGGCTGGCCTTGAACTCATTATGTAGCCTAGGCTGGCCATGAACTTGAGGCAATCCTCCTGCCTCAGCTTCCCAAGCTCTGGGATTAGATATGTGTGCCATCATGCCTGGCTAATACTGAGGTTTTAGTTTAGAAAAAACAAGTTTACATTGATATCTTTTGTCTTAAAAGAAAAACCCAACATGCATGCTGTAGGTTCACCACCACTGGCCCAGAGTATGTGATTAACTGGGGAACCCAGGTCAGGCTGTGTGCCTGTGAGCATCGCTGTAGCATTTCTCTTCTAGGAGAAAGGTCCAAGATGTCCACTCTTGGCAGTCACGTACTTTGGGAGATCTGGCAAGAATGTCCTCCGGATAGGATTAGCCAGCCAGGGACTAGGACCAGACTCCTGGGCATCAGAGGAGCCCTGAGAAGAAAATAGAAAAGTAAGGAATAGCAAGCCTCACCACCAGGGGTCACTGCCACCTAGGAACTCAGTTTAGTTAACTCATGAATGTATCTGCCCTGACTTGCCCGTGACTTGTCAGCTGGTGTGTGCAGACTGCTGAGTTCCAACAGCTGAGATTCTGTGATGTTGTGTATTTTGTTCCCCAACATGAAGGGTTTTGCCATGATCTTTCAATTCTCCAGGGAGAAAAGAATACACACTATTGGGAAAGACTGGGCCATGAAGCCTGATGTCATGTACAAACTTTTGAAAAATCTCTCTGTATGTGTTATATATTATTAAATTTACACATGTATAAAATTGATGCACATAGGTACAAAACTCAAATTATCTTTGTTTACATACCAATGTGAGAAACAAAGGAGTATGTATTTTTGTATACATACACATAGTTCTACTTCGAAGTATTTGGGGCATTTTATCATTATTTCTGTCTAAATATTATTTAATAATATCATTTAATTTCCATTGTGTTTATTTTGTGAACAATTATGTTTGTGTACAACTAAAAACCTATCAATTTTAGCCATTGCTTTTATTTTATTTTATTTATTTTTTATTTTTTCGGTGTTTTGAGACAGGATCTCACTATGTAGTTGAGACTGACCTGGAACTCACTATGTAGCCCAGGCTGTCTTGAACTCACAGCTATCCTCCTGCCTCAGCCTCCCAAGTGCTGGGATTACAGGCGTGCACCACCACACCTGGCTCTAGCCATTGTTTTTAGCCTTCTGCAAAGGGCATGAGTAGTCTATGAATGTACATGTACACAGAAGCCACATGATTACCGCTACATAGATTTTGTGTACACTGTGATTTTGTCAAAATTCAACCTGCCTGTCACTATTTCCTCTTTATTTTTCCAAATTTCCCTGAAATTAAAATAATCCTTTAGTTTTTAGCTCTGATTCTCTTCCATTACAGATTTTCTCTTTTAACCCCCTGTGGTACTGGGGATGGAAAACAGGGCCTTCACACTGAACTGTATCCCCAGCCCTTTTTCATTTTTTATTTTGAGAGAGGGTCTCACTAAGACACTAAGTTGCCCAAGCCTGATTTGAACTTGTGATCCTCCTGTCTCTATCTCCCAGTGTGCTAAGAGCAGAAGTGTGTCCACCACGCCTGGCTATTACAGATTCTTTTAAAGGTGAATTATCTTTTTGGTAAAGTATAACTTTGGTCTCACTCTGAAAGCTTGAAAAGTATTTTTGTTCTTATTCACTGTTTTAAATTTTAAAATTGTCATTACAATGTCTTATTGGATCTAGTGTTATTCTAATACCAAGGTATAACCCCAGCCCAGAAGCATGAATTTTAGATTGAACGCTACTAGAAAGTGTAACGAGATAGATATGTATAGTTGACTATTTAACAATAAGTGAGATTAATCATTAAACTGAGCTTCTGAACACAGGCTGGAGCCAAGTGGCCTAGATTCAACTCTACTTCCAAGATTTACTAAGCCATGCGCTCTGGGACGCATTAAATTTCTCTGTTTGTTTCCTTGCTAGAAAATTGGTGATCATAATACAGTAACTTTGTTTCATGATGTTAAAAGCCATTATGTTTTGCTGTCATTTAATACACCAATGAGAATGACACATTAGAAAATAAAAAAGCCTGCAACATTTTAGACAATCTTTTTTTTTTTTTTTTTTTTTTTTTTTTAAGCCAAAATTTTTGAGAATCTTTTTTTTTTTTTTTTTTTTTTTTGGTACTGGGGATCAAACTCAGGACCTCGTGCTTTTGAGGCAGGAGGAGGAACCACTGAGCTAAATCCCCGGCCCTAGACAATCTTAATTTATGAACTGAGTGTCATCATCAATGGTTTCTGTGCACCAGCTGTCTCTTGCAGGAATGTTTCTGGACCTCCTGTCCCTACGGTTTCATGAGGCACTGTTGCTATTTAATGTCTTGCTGACATTTTGGCCCTGGAGTTCTTTCTCAATCCCATCATGCCCCAGAAGGATAGAGTAATTTAGATGTCCAAAATGGGAAAGGCAAGAAAGTGCTTATTCATCCTAAAATGAAGGTGACCCCAAGTTCTGGTTTCCTGGAACAGTCCTGTGATATGTCTGTTGCCTTGGTCTAACTATTGATAGCATTCTCTTGCCCTCAAAGTGTCCCATTTGGATGGTAAAATTTTATGTGACTCCACCTACAACTTCCTCTGACAGGTCATTTATGTAATGAACATTTGTACTAAAAGCTGACTTTGTTGTAGGCAATGTGCTAGGTGCCAGGAATGCATTATGGAACGAGACAGGTCCCTTATCTCATAATTTGGTTTTGTTAAACTGTCAGGATCACAGGGCCTGGGATTTAGCTCAGTGCTTCTGCCACCTGCCTCAAAAGCATGAGGTTCAGAGTTCGATCCCCCATACCAAAAAAAGAAAAGCAAATAAAAAAGCCAGGATCACAGAGATCTGGCTCCATTCACATTAGCTCCTACCACTGCGCTATCAGAACTTGGTACTCACCTGCCTCCATGGGTCCCTGTACAGTTTTTGGCTTTCTTGATAATGGAAGAACAAATCACAGCCAAGCTTTGTTTCACCTCAGTGTTCTGGGCCTCTCCTAAGGCTGCACTACAAAAGCATCTAACCACATTCTCCCTGACCTAGTTCTGTTTTCTCTCCCCAGTGCCATTTCTTCTTTTCTCAGTAACCTCAATAGGAGTGACTCTTATGAGGCTTACTTCTGTAAATTATGATTCTTTGGTTGTCAGATGTTTTAAATTTATTGTGTGTGTAGGAAGCAGCATGGTGTAATAATGACAGGAGATCTAATTTCTAGTCCCTTCCTGGCTCTGATTCATTGTGTAACTTCAAATACATAAAAATTTCCCTATCTGAGATGTAAAATGGAGTGGTTAGGATCTTTAAGCATTTTTTAACCTCTATGATTCTGATTCTAACTTTGTGTAGTTGATTACACATTCATATTTGTTTGTAAGAGAATTATGGTGGAAGGAATTAACTTGGAAAGATAAATGGAGATACCAGTGAAAAGAAAACAGCAGAAGAGGAGTCAGAAAAGAAGGAAAAAACAAAAACAAAAAATAAAAAAAAATAAAACTTTCAAAAGCCTGCAAAAGAAAGAAAGAAAGAAAAGGAGTAAGAAGAAAATGTAAGCAGAAGACTTCTTGAGAAAAGGGTAAGGAAACTGCTATAACCATGAGGTCAGAAACTGAGGAGTAGGGTGAGTGGACAGAGGGATGCTATCTTCCAGGCTCATTCACTTGCATCTTCCCCGTGTGAGAAAGGAAAGAGGAGTACTGCACTTGTACCTCTAAGAAAGGGCACCAAGCTCACTAGCGCTTGTATTTGTGTGTGTGTGTGTACACACACACTTGTGTCCCTCAACAAGCACTAGCTTCCTAACCAGAAGCCTGAAAAGCGAAGGAAAACACTAAATCCTTGTCCCCCATAGTACATACTTGGCTCAGCCCAGAGTCAAAGCATCCACCACAGGCTTCTCCGAGGCATCCAGAGAGGAGCGCACCCACAGGAAGGCCAGGCCAAAGGGCTGATGCCATGTGAAGGGCTGAGATAAGGTCAGGCAGAGTCGATCCCATGACTCTCCTGAGGCTGGAGCCAGGAAATCATCTCAAGGAAAAAAGAAAAACTGAAGGAAAGAGGGAAGGACTAATGAAGGGAGAAAGGAAGAGGTCAGTACTGAGGAAAGCAAAGTAATGACAGAGGTGTTAAGAGCAAATGCAGAACTGATAGACTACTAACTAGCCTGTTCCCTCAAAAGATACAACTAAGCCATTGTATTACAGGCACCCAAGTTAGATTGAAATATTACAAGCCGTCAGACAGGGCTAGGCCCTTGAGGGAGCCAGTGGAGAAGATGAGACCATGTGGCTGCAAGTGCATCTATTGGAGGCCAGGACTCAAGATAAAGATGGAATGACCAGGCTTACATGCCTCCCTGAGAGATAAGCAATAACTTGAGATTATACTGTAATTGATGTCACCTGGTCCAGTGAAGTCCAGACAGACACTAGTCACCCAAGTGGGTGACCAGGACATCTGAACCCATCCCTTTCTAAAATTGCTTTTGTAGGGCTGGGGATTTAGCTCAGTGGTTCCAGTGCCTGCTTTGCAAGCGCAAGGACCCAAGTTCGATCCCTGGTACCAAAAAAAAAAAAAAAAGCTTTTGTTCTTCCCGTGTACCCTTGCTACATGACCCACTTCCCTATTAGATCAATATTAGCTAAGGCTATACTTATAATCTTGTTGGCTGATTGTAGTTTGATCCACATTGTACTCACTTTGTGATCTGATATCCACCTCATGATTTTTGCTCTAGAAAACATTCTTAGAGGAGATACCTCAGTGGCATACCACTTTTGGGACCCCCCTGTCTCTCAGGAGCTATTTCTCAATACATCTTTCCTACTGTTCATCTCTGTTGTTCCTGGAATTCATTCTTTGATTTCAGCGGACACAAATTGAGCATACCAAACATCTAGCAGGTTGGGAGTTATATTTGTCTTACATCACTTGCCCAGGTGTCCTCCCACAATCCATACCCAATGGCACTTATACCCCTCTCTAGTACTGCATCTTTTTATCCTTCAGAACTGTCCCTGGCTTCTGCCTTTGCCCTCTTTACCATCTTTAAACATGTGGACCCCTGAGCGGTTCTTCCCGTTTTGAATCAGTGAGGGACATTAGCATAGTTGCAGGCAGCACGGTGACAAAAGGTCTGTCTAGAGACCAGGAAAGCACAGCCACAGTTACCTGGGGACAAAAGGTTGAGAGGACAGGGTGATGGGATGGTTGAAGACAAGGGAAGGAAGAGGGGACAGGAGGGTCATTCCTCTACTTTAGAATTAGATGGAAGCAATAGGTGGAGTTTCCCAGGGAACTAGTAACTGAGATGGAAGGAGACCTCAGCCCACTATGCAAATGTAAAGATTCTCCATGAGCCTCCTATCCTGAAACCTTCCCTAATTAAAGAGACTTGCTGTTTTCTCTGTGCTCAGGCCCTGAAGACGATGCTAAATTCTCTTATGTCCTTGCTAAGGAGCTCACCATCTTTCTGTCCTGAGAAAGCTGAGACTAGTGGTCTTCAAAAGCTACCAGTTCCAGAGAATTCTTTTTTAAAACCCTAACCCTATCAATTCCAAAGAATCGTAAAGTCAACCTTCTCAATCCATAAACTACATACAATTCACCATTCCAGCATCCTCTTGATACTAATATTCAGAAGTATATGCAGATTTTATTTGTTGGCATTTATAATTATGCCAATGTTCTAAGGCTTTACTCAGACCACACAGATCACACACAGCAAAGCAGGCATACTGCATAATGCAAGGAGCAACACTCATCATGGAGTTCTCCAAACCCAAAATGCCCCAAGGGCAAAGGCCACATTTCTCCTTTTCACCCAGGTAGGGCTCAGCCAGAATGAATTGAGACATCTGAGTGAATTGGGTAGAAGGGAACGTCAGTCCCGGGTCTTCCCGCTGAGGCTCCCAGGCCCCAGAGAACTCACTCACCTACATTGATATAGCTAGTGGGCACTGCCCTCTCCAGCTGCAGCTCCACTTTCAGTTGCCCATTCCTGTCCTGAGGGCAGCTGAGCCAAGGCCCCCTCTGACTGTCTGGGTTCAGCAAGTTCTCCACAGGATACTTGGGATCCTAAATAAGATGAGGAGAAAATCAGGAACCTTACTGAGACCAAGGGGGAAAAAAAAGATGTCCATAAATAAGGGATTCTTACAATCTCAAATTTTTTGCAGCATCCTAACATGATGGAAAGACACAGATGAGAATCCACAGGAACACAGGAATCAGGTGCCAAGTGGTTATTATCAAAGGGACTTACCTCATTTACCAGACTACTTTACTTCTTTCTTTTTTTTGAGATAGAATTTTGCCATGTAATTCAGGCTGGCCCTGAATTCACTATGTAGCTGAGGCTGGACTCGAACTTGCAGCAATCTTCCTGGCTTGGCCTCCCAAGTTCTGGGATTACAGGCATGTGCCACCATGCCTGGCTTACTTCACTTAATTCTCATGATGACTCTTAGGTGGTTACTATGACTATTTCTTAGTTAATAGATCAGTAAACTAAAGCTTAGGAAAGTTCTGAAACTTACCCAAGGCCAAACCAAACAACCAACCAAAGCACAATTCCTAGGTCTCCGAAACAAGAGATTTTAATCCTTACTACGCTGATGTCTTCTCATTTATAAGACGTTTGCAAATTAATAGTAATATTGATATAGGAGAAATACAGTTCCCAACCTGTTAGGTGCCAAATGTGCTGAGTCCTTGGTCTCACAACATGAAGGAAGGAAGTGGTGATCCAAAGGAGGAAGATATGAGAGTTTTATTGGAACTAAGGGGAAGAATACTTTCTGGGTTTCCAGGAGGGGGTCCCAAAGAGATGACCATCATGGTCTTTTGTCAGGAGCAAATTATACAGCAAAGTCATACTATGGGTACGATGTGGGTCAAACTACAACCAATCTATATGATTACAAGTATAGACACTTAGGTAATATTGATCAAATAGGGAAATGAGTCACGTAAGGGTACATGGAAAGAACAAATGAATTTTTAGAAAGGGAGAGGCATATGGGCACAGGTGTTCTGGTTACCCGCCTATGTGTCTGATGCCTCTCTGGGTGCGCTGGACCAGCTGGTACCAACTACAGTATAATCTCACACTGCTGTTTACCTCGCAGGCCTGCCCATTGCACCTCCATCCTGAGACCTGGCTCTCTTCAGATTTGTCTCTAACCACAATTCTGATGTCTATTTTTTTGGTGCTGACCTAAGGCCCCAATCCCTCTGATTGAATACTAATTTCTGTCTAACTTAGCTGTCTATAATAATATTGATTTGTTTGATGGTTTCTTGGTACCAGGGATAGAACTTGGGACTTCTGCTTGCAAGGCAGGCAGCGGCACCACTGAGCTAAATCCCCATTCCTATAATAATATAGAGACATGGTCTTCAACCATGTATGTTTCAGCAATAAAACACTTTTTAACTGAAATTTTTTTTCAACAAATAAAAGCACAGCTTTGGTTGTAGAACAGGGTGAGGAAGTAGCTAAAGAAATACTTGTCCCCACCTCCTTTCAAATTCTAGAAGTTGATTGCAATACAGAGTACAGTTTGAAAACCATGATGTTACCCTCACTGGAGGAAAGATAGCCTCTTTAATATATTGTGCTGGAAAAACTGGGTTTAACTTGCCAAAGATTAAAACTAGACCTGTAGCTCTCAACATGCACTAAACTAAAACTTAAATTGATTAAAGATCTAACTATTAAAACAGAAACACTAAACTAGTTGGAAGAGAGGTTAGATAGAATTCTGGAAGACATTGGCATAGGAAAAGGTTTTATGAAAAAAACCTCAGTTGCCCGTGAATTAACACAAACCATCAACAAGTGGGATGTCTTCTTAATAAAAAGCTTCTGCAAAATAATTGCTTCTGAACAGCAAGAGAAACCACCAACAATGTGAAAAGGCAACCCACAATGTGGGAAAAAATTTTCACCAGGAGTTCCTTAGACAAAGGTCTACTATCTAGAATATATAAAGAACTTAAAAGAAATTAGACCTCCCAAATTTAAAGATCCAATACAAAGATGGGTATCTGAAATGAACAGACATTTCTCAGAGAAGTGGAAAAAACAAATAAACATATGAAAAAATGTTCAACATCTGAAAACAACACTGATTCCACCTCATCAAAAGAATTAAAAGAATCATACCATAGCAATATATGTGCACCCACATTCATAGCAGCACATTTTGTGATAGCTAAAACTTGGAAACAGCCCAATTGCCCATCAACTGGAGACTGGATAAAGAAAATGTGTGTGTGTTTTTAAAAAATAAAATGGAGTACTACTCAGCCACAAAGAATAAGCTAAAACTTAAACAGCCCAATTGCCCATCAACTGGAGACTGGATAAAGAAAATGTGTGTGTGTTTTTAAAAAATAAAATGGAGTACTACTCAGCCACAAAGAATAAGAAATTAGAGACATTTATAGTTAAATGGATGCACATTGAGGCCATACTCGAGTGAAATAAATAGGACAAATATGTGTAAATACTGAATAGTTTCTCTGGCGTGAGAAACTGAAAGTGTAAATAAAGACTAAAACATAAAATAGATAATGTGAAATAGTAAGAAAAGGGGCAAAGGGGAATGGAAAGTGAGAGGAGTAGGGGAAAGGAAGGAAGGGAATGGAATTAATATGAGAAAATGAAAAAAATGGAAGCAAAGTCTTTGTAAATAGGGAAGGGTGGAGGGCTTGAAGAGAGGGCAGGGGAATGAGGAAAAAAAATAAGAACCAAGATAGATTATGTAAAGGTGCAAATTCCCAATGATGAGTGTCATTATATTGTATACCTGCAATGTATCAATAAAATTAAATGTGTGTGTGTGTGTGTGTGTGTGTGTGTGTGTGTGTGTGTGTGTGTGAAAGCCATGATGTTAGAAGATAGCAAATATTCTCTAGCATTTTACAAGGCTATGTAGAAAACTGTTCAAGCCAGGCATGGTACTGTACTCCTGTAATCCCAGCACTCTGGGAGACTGAGGCAGGAGGATGGCAAGTTTGAGCTCAGCCTGGGCAACTTGGTGAGACTATAAAAACAAAACAAAACAGGGGCTGGGGATTTAGCTCAGTGCTGCTACCACCTGCCTTGCAAATACAACAGCCTGAGTTCAATCCCCAGTACCAAGCAAAACAAAACAAAATGAAACAAATGGCTTGTGATGTAGCTTAGTGCAAAAGCCCTGGGATTCAATCCCCAGTAGGGCAAGTAAAATTTTTACTTTATTTCATTTAGAATAGAGGATAACATAGTAGTTCCTAAAGTTCCCCTAATAGTTTTTCTGAAATATGTGGTTATGGGTTTGAATTTCATGACTAGGAAGTGATATTATCATTGGCACTCAGGGGCCAGTGAAAGGAACAGTGACTCTCAACAACTAGGCCACACACACCGAGAGGTCCGACTGGAGATTTTATTCAAGGAGTGGGAGCAGAGAGAGAGAGAGAGAAAGAAGTGCAGAAGTATTTATGAGCTAAGTAGGAAGGCCCTCCCATCAGGTTTAGGCGGGCTACTCTTAACCTATCACGGGCTATGTTATGTGCTGATGTGGTCTTAAGGAAAAGCAAACTTAAGACAATGGTTTTAGGGGTAGAAGAACCTGGAAGTCCAGCCCAAAATGGCAGTGTCACAAAATACTTTAACATGATCAAGTCCCTAACATTCCCCCCTCTTTGGTGTTAGATGAGAAATGGCAGCCAGTGCAGATCATATGCCAGGGAAGGGGGAGACGTGTTTGTCTTCTGTAACTACTTCCTGCTGAGTCTGGAGCAATGATACTCTTGGGGGGCGGGCATGAAGTCTGGTCGGCTGTGCTGCTCTCGAGCAGAGGTGAACTGATGGTAGCAATAATATTCCCATTGAAGTCATCTGTAAGGTTTTATAAGAAGAGTCCAAACACACAAATTTATCAATGAGGGAGGAGAGATGGGCAGAATGTAGTTGGTTTAGAGCCCGCACCGCATTTCCCAGCGTGGTCTCACATGGGTCCTGACTAAATTTTGGCAGAAATCACAGATGCTGCCTTGAAACATTTCTCTGAGATACCAAAGTAGAGGGTGGCCCTCAATATCAACCTGGAAGGCTAGGGTGAAAATAAGGGGTATATGGAATGTCCCACCTTTTTTCTGGATGGGGTCTTCTAGAGTATATCCCTTGGGTAGGGTGGGTTGGTGACAAAACAAGTGAACCAAGAGGGGAACGCCGGATCCTGATGGGAACCAAGGGGTGCTCATGTGGCCAATAGGGTCTTATGGAAGCAACTATAGCTCCTTGACATGATTCTGATGGGTTAGAAAGGTAGGTGGAGGGGTTGAAGGAATATCCGAAGAAATCTTGATGTATCTCACAATACCAAGGAAGTAGGGTTGTTTGGCCTTATTTTTGCATTGGGCCTCTGAGATCAGGGAGGAGTGCTTTTTGCACAGTATACGCAACCTTGGGGGTGATATGAAAGATGGGCAATTAATTGGAGATCAATCATACGGAGTGAGTGCCGTAGCTATGCAATTAAAAAGGCTTGGGCCATGGGCTGTGGGGCAGAATGGGTGGCCTGAATCCATTTTAGTCAGGGGGAAGCTCTAGAAAACTAGATTGGTGCAGACTATCTTCAGTGATAATTATTATTAAGAGGAAAGTGAAGGCCTCAATCTCTGTTGTTGTAAAGTGGCAGAGTCCCCTGAAGCCAAGCTCTGGAGCCCCAACTGGTTACCTGTAGCACCGGGCAAGGGTAGGGGACAAACCAAGGTAGATCAAGTAGGAGATCCTCCAGGAACTGTCTGAATCCAGCAGAGTCTGGATCAGGCTTGGGTGGTGAGAGGTGGCTGCCATATGAAGGTGGTCTCGTTAGGGCCTTGTGCTCATAACACCAGCTGATGGGCCGTTTGTCGGGAGACCTGGGCAGAAAGTTGGCTGACCTGGGCCTGGATATAACGGAAAACACAGGGAGCAATAGCTAATAGAAGAAAGAGTGTTATTAGGAGGGCAATAAAGGGGAGTAAAGATGAAAATAGAGGATTATCGAACCACTTTAATGTCCATCCCTCATTTTGATGCT